TAGTGAGATTTCTGCCCTTACAGTTAATTTACAGCTGCTATTGGCTTATCATCTCTTCTCATCACTGCAGAGTTAGGCTGGGTGATCGGCACATGGGTTAACCTAGCCCAGGTGTAAGCAGCCATGCTGCAAAACACTACCCAAGCTACCGTGTCCTCACACATGCTGCACTCCCCCATGTGTGTCTTTAGGACTTCTGGGGGCATATCCCATGGTTCTTTATGCTGCAGCAAGATGAGCCACTCTGATTCTTTCCCTGCCAATTGTGGGAAAATATTTGTCTTTCTGGGGACTTTGGGGTGGGGGGAAATTGTGGAAAGGCATAGGAGGATTGTCAGCAGTCGCATGATTTATCCTGCATCTGCAATGCAAAAGTGGATGGGTTACCAGTCCAAGTGAAAGGTGAATCCAGGTTCTAGCCCACACCCCCAGCCACATGCAGTTTGAAAGCACCACTTAATGCCGGTGTGAGATTTTTGTGTATGGACACAAAAGTAAGAACCCAGGCTAATTCTGTGGTGAAGACATACCCTAGGAGATCATAAGTAGATAGTCATCTTTGTCTAAAACTTCATCTTTATTTATCCCTGAGAGATCTTCTTTCCTGCATTCAGAGAGAATGTGCCCAGAGAAATCTTCCTGATGTCACTTATAAAATTCTAGGAAATTTAGTTCCATTTTAATAATGGTGAGCTTGTCATCTAAAATCACCCAAACAGAATGGGAGTTGCAGATTTTTTTTCAAAGATTTAATTTGCATGTGTACTCTCGTTTACCCACAGCTCAATAGTTATGACATGTTTCTATTATACGTTGACTAATCTGATACAGCACAGTGTTGTAAACCTCACATATTAATGAATACGTTACCATTACAGGAAAACGATATTTAAGTTAAAAATATTCTGTTGGTAAAATGGTATAAGCCAAAAATTAATGCCTAAATTAGCTAACATCAACATTTGCTTTAATGATCAATCTAGGGTAGATAGTTTGGTTAAGTTGGAGAAGTTTTGAGATTTCTGATTTGGAGTGAATCAACCTAGTCAATAGAACTCGAATTCCCATTACAATGTAAGCCCGAATTCTGAAACTTGCTTCACATAGGCAGGAGTCAGTGGTGTTGTGCATAGGTCTAGGAGTGCACCCAAAGCTCAAGGATCAGACCCTAATTCAGCACTGTGTGGTAGGCTCTGCTGAAGAGACTCAGGACTATAATTGCTTTGATGTTCAGGGCCATGATTGAATCATAGAATCATAGAATATAAGGGTTGGAAGGGACCCCAGAAGGTCATCTAGTCCAACCCCCTGCTCGAAGCAGGACCAATTCCCAGTTAAATCATCCCAGCCAGGGCTTTGTCAAGCCTGACCTTAAAAACCTCTAAGGAAGGAGATTCTACCACCTCCCTAGGTAACGCATTCCAGTGTTTCACCACCCTCTTAGTGAAAAAGTTTTTCCTAATATCCAATCTAAACCTCCCCCACTGCAGCTTGAGACCATTACTCCTCGTTCTGTCATCTGATACCATTGAGAACAGTCTAGAGCCATCCTCTTTGGAACCCCCTTTCAGGTAGTTGAAAGCAGCTATCAAATCCCCCCTCATTCTTCTCTTCTGCAGGCTAAACAATCCCAGCTCCCTCAGCCTCTCCTCATAACTCATGTGTTCCAGTCCCCTAATCATTTTCGTTGCCCTTCGCTGGACTCTTTCCAATTTATCCACATCCTTCTTGAAGTGTGGGGCCCAAAACTGGACACAGTACTCCAGATGAGGCCTCACCAATGTCGAATAGAGGGGAACGATCACGTCCCTCGATCTGCTCGCTATGCCCCTACTTATACATCCCAAAATGCCATTGGCCTTCTTGGCAACAAGGGCACACTGCTGACTCATATCCAGCTTCTCGTCCACTGTCACCCCTAGGTCCTTTTCCGCAGAACTGCTGCCTAGCCATTCGGTCCCTAGTCTGTAGCTGTGCATTGGGTTCTTCCGTCCTAAGTGCAGGACCCTGCACTTATCCTTATTGAACCTCATCAGATTTCTTTTGGCCTAATCCTCCAATTTGTCTAGGTCCTTCTGTATCCTATCCCTCCCCTCCAGCGTATCTACCACTCCTCCCAGTTTAGTATCATCCGCAAATTTGCTGAGAGTGCAATCCACACCATCCTCCAGATCATTTATGAAGATATTGAACAAAACCGGCCCCAGGACCGACCCTTGGGGCACTCCACTTGATACCGGCTGCCAACTAGACATGGAGCCATTGATAACTACCCGTTGAGCCCGACAATCTAGCCAGCTTTCTACCCACCTTGTAGTGCATTCATCCAGCCCATACTTCCTTAACTTGCTGACAAGAATACTGTGGGAGACCGTGTCAAAAGCTTTGCTAAAGTCAAGAAACAATACATCCACTGCTTTCCCTTCAACCACAGAACCAGTAATCTCATCATAGAAGGCGATTAGATTAGTCAGGCATGACCTTCCCTTGGTGAATCCATGCTGGCTGTTCCTGATCACTTTCCTCTCATGCAAGTGCTTCAGGATTGATTCTTTGAGGACCTGCTCCATGATTTTTCCAGGGACTGAAGTGAGGCTGACTGGCCTGTAGTTCCCAGGATCCTCCTTCTTCCCTTTTTTAAAGATTGGCACTACATTAGCCTTTTTCCAGTCATCCGGGACTTCCCCGGTTCGCCACGAGTTTTCAAAGATAATGGCCAATGGCTCTGCAATCACAGCCGCCAGTTCCTTCAGTACTCTCGGATGCAACTCGTCCGGCCCCATGGACTTGTGCACGTCCAGCTTTTCTAAATAGTCCCTAACCACCTCTATCTCCACAGAGGGCTGTCCATCTCTTCCCCATTTTGTGATGCCCAGCGTAGCAGTCTGGGAGCTGACCTTGTTAGTGAAAACAGAGGCAAAAAAAGCATTGAGTACATTAGCTTTTTCCACATCCTCTGTCACTAGTTTGCCTCCCTCATTCAGTAAGGGGCCCACACATTCCTTGGCTTTCTTCTTGTTGCCAACATACCTGAAGAAACCCTTCTTGTTACTCTTGACATCTCTGGCTAGCTGCAGCTCCAGGTGCGATTTGGCCCTCCTGATAACATTCCTACATGCCCGAGCAATATTTTTATACTCTTCCCTGGTCATATGTCCAACCTTCCACTTCTTGTAAGCTTCTTTTTTATGTTTAAGATCCGCTAAGATTTCACCATTAAGCCAAGCTGGTCGCCTGCCATATTTACTATTCTTTCGACTCATTGGGATGGTTTGTCCCTGTAACCTCAACAGGGATTCCTTGAAATACAGCCAGCTCTCCTGGACTCCTTTCCCCTTCAAGTTAGTCCCCCAGGGGATCCTGGCCATCCGTTCCCTGAGGGAGTCGAAGTCTGCTTTCCTGAAGTCTAGGGTCCGTATTGTGCTGCTTACCTTTCTTCCCTGTGTCAGGATCCTGAACTCAACCAACTCATGGTCACTGCCTCCCAGATTCCCGTCCACTTTTGCTTCCCCCACTAATTCTACCCGGTTTGTGAGCAGCAGGTCAAGAAAAGCGCCCCCCCTAGTTGGCTCCTCTAGCACTTGCGCCAGGAAATTGTCCCCTACGCTTTCCAAAAACTTCCTGGATTGTCTATGCACCGCTGTATTGCTCTCCCAGCAGATATCAGGAAAATTAAAGTCACCCATGAGAATCAGGGCATGCGATCCAGTAGCTTCCGTGAGCTGCCGGAAGAAAGCCTCATCTACCTCATCCCCCTGGTCCGGGATGAGATCCTAACAATACAACAGTGTTAGCCACTCCTGTTCGCTAGCTCCTCTGGTTGCTTAGGAGTGGGCTTTTTAAAGCCCTGGACTTCCTGAGTATGCCCACCCCTGGTTAAGGGTTGAGGGGTGGTAAAGGGCTTAGGGATCAAAGCCTCGTTAAGAAGCTCTCAGCCTTGCCTAGCAGGCTGCTAGGCTCAGTGCACACACGGTCCCCCAAACAAACAGACCACAGGGTATATTTCACTCAAGCAGCAAGCACACCACAAACACACACACTATAGGCAACAAACTTACCTAATATAATCGCTCCTCCTTCACCTGGAGAACTCCCTCGCAAAACTCCCATTAGCTCCTGTTCACTAGCTCTCAATCAAACAAAGGAAGTATTTCTTCACACAGTGCACAGTCAACCTGTGGAACTCTTTGCCAGAGGATGTTGTGAAGGCCAAGACTATAACAGGGCTCAAAAAAGAACTAAATAAATTCATGGAGGATAGGTCCATCCATAGCTATGAGCCAGGCTGGGCAGGGATGGTGTCCCTAGCCTCTGTTTTCCAGAAGCTGGGAATGGGCAACAGGGAATGAATCACTTGATGATTACCTGTTCTGTTCATTCCCTCTGGGGCACCTGGCATTGGCTGCTGTCGCAAGACAGGATACTGGGCTAGATGGACCTTTGGTTTGACCCCATATGGCCATTCTTATGCTAGTAAAGAGCATCTTTGAGATGCTTACATAGCTCCTACCTCCACACCATGCTGATATTAGCAACTGTTATCCATCACTTTGCTTTCATAAGCAATGAAAAGTAGGGTTGGAGGACTATATAGACCACAGGTACACAGCAGAAATATAATGAAATTCAGTGCTGGTGATCTGCCAGAGGTGATGTGGCTTTCATTATATTGAACATGGTTTGTCAATGAAGAGATTATTAAAAGTTAAGATAATTCACTTTTTGCTTCCTTACTTACTGGGCCAAATTCAGTCCTTGGGCTACACATTTAGTCAAGTTTTATCTGTTTTTCTCAGTTCTTTTACTATGATACAGATGTATGTCCAAAAAGCCAATAACAAGAAAAAATTGTAATGGTTTTATATTTATGCCCTCCTCAAAAAAAAAGCTGAGTTCATGTTTCTGGGGTTGTTTAATGCTGGGGGGAAAAACAAGAAGGACCTGAATTTTGCCTGTGTAACTAGATGGCCTTACAGTGTCACAATTACTATTTCTTTCAGGCTTACTTTCATTTGGGGATTAATGACAAACTGGGATTATCTGGAAGACCCGACAGGCCTATCGGATGCCTTGGAACATCAAAGGTCATTGCAAGAAGTGACTGATTTGTATTACTATAATTAGCATGTACTCCAGACAAATTTTGGATTATTTTGTGGAGACAGAATACTATTTAAATTGTTGAATTTACTAAATGTAATCTTATTTTCTGCATGTAAATCGTATTGTTTATTATAAAATGTTTTTAATATAGTTTATAAACTCATTAAGGACAGAGCATAAACTATCTCACTATTAATTTATTTCATGCCTTACCTAAGCAACTAGTTACAGCAATACTTACTCACCCAAGACAAGCTTGATCATGATTGGGTGAACCGCTGTGATTAAAAAAGAATGTGGATTTGCTCACTGTGTAAGAACAAGGATTCTTCAAATTAGATTTTTCAGTTGTCCTTTTTGCAGATCATTATTACTTTGACAATTCTGCAAGACTACATCTGTGTTTTCACTTTTTAAACTGTATTAATGTTAGTTTAATATATTTTAAAGAAATGGGTAATGTTAGCTTTTTCTTCCTACAGATTTATCGAATACTAGGAAAGACTGTTGTTTGCTACCCAATCATTTTTGACCTAAGTGACTTCTACATGTCTCAGGATGTTATGCTGTTGATCGATGACATTAAGGTATTTATCTGTTGTTTATCTTATGCAACCTGATGAAATAAGTCCTATATTAAGAATAAATTGTGCTGTTCTAAAGGTTTGATGAAATGTAGGATTGAAAAAGGGGGATGAAAAAATATATAGTCTGTATACCTTACTATATAATGTAAGACGAGCAAAGTTATGGTGGGAAGAACAATGCAAATATTAGCATTAATATACTATTAGACCAGTGCAGACCCTAGTGGATGTTCTACGTTGGCAGAAATCTAACTCCAGGAGGGGATGAGAATGCAGTGGCACAACATGCACGAACCCCTGTTTTCCAGGGAAACTCAAGTGCAGCCCCAAAGACAGACAAATTTGGCAGGGGCAAGGGGCATGGCCAGTTCACTTTAGGGATGCTTTGATTGAAAGCCTCATTTGCTGGGGCTTTTCTGGAGCCTTGGCTACAAATTAAAATTTGCCTTCCTTGGGTGAAACACAGTTAAGGGCAGCAGTGTAGCTATGTGAATAACTGGTTGTTCAGTTTGCAGCAAGGACTGGAACCTGGCTATGACCCTCCCAAATCAGTGCCCTGGCCACTAGACTATAGGGTCATTCCTCTCTCTCTGGTCTGTTGAATATTTAATTATTTATGCAAAGTGGAACGACATCAACAGGAGAAATTGAGAGAGACCCACCCTAGAATACTTTATAGCCCTGTAGGCAGGGCATTCATCTGCAAGTTCAAATCAGGCAGAGTGGGGATGTGAATCTGGGTCTTCCATGTCCTAGGTGAGTGCTCTAACCGTGGGGCTATCAGGTATCAGACCACTGCCACCCCCTCTTCAGTTTCAAAAATGGCACCTAAGGCCCCTTATGAATCTATCCTGACTTTTTTTTTTATTGATGAAACTAATCAGTGAATTCATGTCAAATAGGGGATAGTTTCAGTTGACCTCTAACTGCATTTTTCAGCAAATATTCTATTTGAAAAAATGTCCCCCAGTTCTAGTGCCAGCATCACCTGCCCTATTCCCCCATCCTCATAGTGAAATGACCTGGGCTGCAGCAGCTACTTCTGGTGTATAAAAGGTGCCAATGATCTCCCCTGCACTTTCACTCACTATTCACATCAGAACCCTCTTTATACAGATCAATAGATGTAATCCAATATTTCATTCTGCTCAGACTGGTGACTTGGTTGGTTTGTGCCTAACCTATAATGAGAGCAATGTTGTTATAAAGCTGTGGCTATGCAGTGTTTGCAAATTGCTTACATTCTGCAAAAAAAGAAATAAATACATAACTGAAAAAATTAATTGTTTGGGATTTGTAATCTGTTGGGTTTATAGCAGTACCCTTTATTTTAAGTTGTTTGTTATAGTTACAATATATTGTACTGTATGTTTCCTGGCATGAATCACATACACTTTTATGTTTACCTAGAATGCATTACAGTTCATTAAGCAATATTGGAAGATGCATGGTCGCCCCCTGTTCCTCGTGCTTATCCGTGAGGATAACATAAGGTATGGAATACATGTGAAGATCATTATTTGTAATGTGATTTTTCACATTTTTAATATTAATGTGTTTGTTTTTAAAATTATAGGGGAAGCAGATTCAACCCAATATTAGATATGCTGGCAGCCTTTAAAAAGGGAGTTGTTGGAGGAGTGAAGGTTCATGTTGATAGAGTGCAGGTATTTTTTTTTTTCCTAAATGTTGCATTCATACTCTGGCAGTAGTCTGTGTTAGTCCATGAACTGTGAATTATTTCTACAGACATTTTATTCCATCAAAATTCTTTGGTTTCTCATGTGACTTTTTAATACCTCACTGAGTGTTATAAAATTAAAGATGAGATAAGTCAAGGGTTCTGCTTTTCTTTAAAGCCTTTTGTTAAGTTTCTGTACACTGTAAATCATGCTTTCTCTAAACAGGAGCACAGGGCTTTGATATTTTCAACAAAGGTCCTTTTAATGTGGCAGGAAATCTATTTTATTTTTACTTCCAGCCATCTGTCTTGTGGAATTTATCACAAAAGGGCAAGCCCTTGATATCAAGGCTTAAGGGCTCTATTCTGGGCCATATCAACAGCAGGGAAAAGTGTGTGTTTCACATGTTAACTAATGTTAAAATTCTAGCCAGTTTTAATACATTAGCTGCTCAAGATAAATCTTAAGGGGGAGACTAGGGTTTACCGCAAGCAGCTAAAATGTTAAAATTACGAAGAGAACATTCCTAGCTCTAACAGTAAAATAAATGCTTTCAATGACCATTTAAATAAACATTTGTAAATTACCTAGTTCATAAAATCTCTGGCTATCATAAGTTAGAGTTCCTGATGTCAATGTCATTGCCATCCATGCAAAGCACTACCTGCAGGCTCCAGGGGGCTTTTGATGTTTATCTGGAATGCCTCCTGTTTATTACTTTGTATTTTATTAAATTGATATATTGTCACAAGAAACATTTCTCAAACATTATCTACAGTGTGCTCTTACATTATTTTACACATTGTACTATTTCAAAGTCCTCAGTAAACCATTGTTCCCCTCCACATTCAATTCCTTTCCCTGAAGATACTTTAAATAATTAATAAGCCTTTTAGAATTGTTTTATCAATTTGACAATCACTGCTGTTCATGTTGTCTGTCTTATTCATGAAGGGTGGAAAAACATTTCAATAACATTTTTAACTGGCTTGGGTCTCGGATGGTTTTCATCGAGGTTGTGTTGTGCTGTGTCTTGGTATTCTGTGTGCTCTGGGTTTTCACCATCCAATTCTAATCATGGGCACCAAAAATTAGAGATGAGCATTGTTGATGAATGTGACACTAGTAAATAAAGTTATATACTATGCCCCACACCCCTGAGTATCTCTTCATGATATATTTCTTTGAAAACCTACTGAGATTTTTCCAAGAATATATTGTTAAAGCAGCTGTGAAGGTAAGTAATCATTTCCACAGGATTCAGTATAATATATACTGACTAGGTTAGGTTTATAGTATATTAACTATGATACAGTGAATGTTTATTTCCTACTACAATTTTAAACTAAGGATGTGGAAACTGATTTGGGTGAAATAGGAATCATCTTGAATCTTTGATTCCTCTCTCAACTCTAAACTTTTATTTGAGGTTTTGTAGAGTTTTAGGAAGTCTTGTTATCTCCTTTCCCCCTCCTCACCCAAAATTTGTAGGCACTGCTGATCAACTGAGGAGAATTATTTGTTAGACAGAAAATAATGTATATGTTCCTTTAGTCTAAGAATTGTCTTACAAACTTATCATACAGTTTGGTCAGCTGATATATTATGCCAAATGTGTAGAAAATGCAAGAATTTCCACTACAGGATGTGCAAAAGCTCAATCATTTAATCTCCTGAATATATTGTCATATTTTGGAAATTGTGCATTTCATTAAAGAGGAAAAAGTCCTGAAAAAGTGGCTGAAATTGCAAAGAGGTGGTAACGCATCATCTATTAAAACAATATACTTTATACTGCTTTTTCATAATTTATATTGAGCTTGTACATTTGTATGTACATATCTGAACATGTACAGTTAGGCTTTAATATCTTAATTCACAAAAGGGGATGTACAATCTTTGCTTGTGACATGTACATTAAAATGTATTCATCCTTTCAGGCAACATATAATTAGGCTTGGCAGAATTCAGTTTTTATTTTTTCATAATTCTGACAGACAATATCTGTTTAATGACAGTAGATGTTGAGATTCAAAAAGTTAAAACTTTATAACCATTAAAACTTAAATTGTCCACATCACATGTCAAAATATACAAAGTAAATATTCTTAAATTAAACTCTAATAGTTCTCAAGCAGCATTTTTCTTTCTTTGCCTAACTGTAAATTTCACTTATTATCAATGGAAATATTTTTTGTATGTTTGTATGTGTCTAGTAAAATGGACAATTACTTATTAAAAACCTAATCCTTACAAGCCTACAAATAATTTCCAGCACTGTTCTTAATCATTTTTACTTTCATTGTCTGTAACTGCTTCCATCATCAGCCGTGTTCCAGAGGATTATGTGTCATAAAGATGGCTGGAGGACATCCGCAATAAAAATAAACAAAAAAAAGCAAGCAGCTTTTTATTTTCACAATCAACTCTTACAGTGTAATACTGTGGTATTTTACTATAAATTGTAAAATGAAAACTGAGTTTAAAAGTTCACAGGACATGCATCCAGTTTTTTTTCTCCTATTGACAACTATCAAAACACAATGCTTTTTAAGAAAGTCCTCTTTAAAACTGCTTTATTAGAACAGATTTTCTCTAGAAGTACATATATATGAAATTCATATGAATATCAAATGAATTAATTGTAATCAATAAGCATATTAAAATATTAATGACAGAATCTTAACGTTGTTAGAGAGAGCGCAAATATTTGTCTGTAGACGTATGTGTACATATGTATATATGTATGGGGACAAGAGGGAGGTACCTCTAGACTAAGGAATGACCTAAGAATAAGGAATCCCAATAGATTTGCTATGCTGGGAGTTGGGTGAAACCTTATTCAAACTTGTGGGCATAACAGGTGCTCTTCATTCAAGATAAATGTAAAAAGCAATTAAATAACCCAACTCCAGGAATTATGGCCCTGGGGCTTCCCCTCCTTGGGGGAGGTTGACTGGGGGCAAGACCTGCTCCCCCACCCCAGGCACCTCTGGAGCTCCTGGGGGGGGGAGGGAAGCCCCAGGGTCATGATTTCTGGAGCTGGGAGGCTTGGGCCCCAGCTGCCTGGATGGGGGCTGGCTAGCCACGCAGTGGCTGCAGCTGGGCTTGGGGCCCCAGAGGGACCCTCTGTCAGGCATGCCAGCAGCTAAGCCTACTCTCTGCATCCTGTTGGGCTCAGATGTGCTAGGAGCCACCATCTCCAGCTCCTGCCTCTTCTGTCTATGGCCAAAGGTGGGCCTGGGTCCCCTGCCCTGTCCCCTCTTGGTGCACCTCTGCATACTAATGCATACTATAAGAGGAGAGAATGGCTACTTTACAATAACTGTGATTCTTCAGGATGATGATGTCAGTATGTTCCCATGACCTGCTCTCTATCCCTGCTTTTTGGATTCCTCAGCAATGTGAGGTACCTGCACACCTACAATGGGAGCCACACTGACTACATCTCAAAGAACCACAATAACTGTAGGGTATGTAACCAGTCTTTCTGTAATTGTAGAAAAAAGGCTATTATGATTTGTGGTGATAACATACTACACTTGCCACTCATACTACACTTGCTACTTGCAGGAAAAGGTGCATGAAAACTGAAAAGAAACTGGTATTTTAAAATATAGCAGTTTCTTATCAGTCTAACTCAAATATTCCTGTTTAGTAGGGGGCAATTTGTTATGTTGTTGATCTCAGAATTGGTATGTGCAATGTACAGACTGATACTGTCTTGCTGAGTGCTTGTTTTTTTTTTTCCTCCCCAGACATTAATATCTGGTGCAGTTGTTGAACAACTTGACTTTCTGAGAATCAGTGAAACAGAAGAGTAAGGATATGTGGGAGATCTAATTATGGTGTTTTTCACAATTAAAATATCTTCTGAAGTGTGGACAATTAAATAATTATTTTTTCAGGCCTCCCGAATTTAAGAGTTTTGAGGAGCTGGAACTTCCAAAACATTCAAAAGTCAAGAGACAAACTAGTACTCCAAATGTTTCTGAACTCGAACAACAACCAGAAGTAAATATTAATGACTGGAAAAACAGATCGACTTACGAGATTCTTGAGAAACTGAATGTAAGAAAATTGGAGAAATTGTTCTGTAGTTTAGTTCTAGTTCTCATCAGATGATTTTTTTTTTGTTTTAATTCTGCTAGTTAACAGCACGTTCTTCAGATGAACATGGTTAATATTGTCACCCCAGCAGCCACTCTCAACAGTTTTCTTGGCCAGAAACTTTATATTTCATTAAATGTTTATTGATTTTTTTTTCATAAACAGATAATGAAAAGTACAAAAAGATAAATGACTTATGGCTAATATATGTTTCCAAATACCACGTGCTTCACAGGGTCTTTAAGAGAATTATACAATAATGCAGTTTTACAGCTTGTCAAAGCTGCAAGACCAGACAAAACCTACACAGAGATAACATGTTAGCATGGGGTAATAAAACAGGAGATGACGTACATAAATAGGGAGAGTAGTGAAGGAAGGGAAAAGAGAAGGGCTTAGGTGGAGTGGAGGTCTGGCATTCTTTGAGCACCCATCAACATCTTTTATCTAAATGCATCTGGAAACAGGGTCAATAATTCTTTTAATTCATATAATTGTTCTCCACAGTTTTTAAATAGAACTAGTAACTTCTGGCTTCTCCTACACTGATATTTGCTTCAAGAGTCTTCCCTCATTGTAGCCCTCTCCCCAGGTGCCACAGAACCCTCTGAGCTGCCACATTCCAGCTAACAGTTTTCCATACTCCCTTTAATAGAATCCATATTATTTTTTTTTCTGGTAACACCTGAAATATTGTAAATGGGGAGAGATGGTTGCATCCCATATGAATAAATACCTCATATCTAGACTGCAGCTCCAAAAAAAACCCCCAAAAAACAAAAAAACCCTGAATGGTTGAAATCCACTAAGACAGACTGATGACCTTTTGGTGACTTTTGACGGTAAGATCAACTATATAAGTTTCAATTGGGTATTTTTCCTGTACCCAGAAACCAACAATGAATGAGTATTTCGCATTTCAATATTCTGTCTTAGTGGGAACTTGGAAAACTATCATGTCAGTTAGTCATCTGATCACAAGCATTTGTTTTGCAAATGGTAGAGGTCAAGGGCACTGAGACAGGAATGATCTTTCTGAGCTAAGTGGTGCAACTTTATTGAACCTTAATATATGTCCTTAAAAAAGCCATTCTAAAGCAGCAGTGAAAAGAGAATTCCCAAACTCTGTACCAGTGTTGCTGTGCCACTCTTTCCTTCAGAGGAGATAGAAAATGAAGACAGAGATAATTATATAACTGGGGTATCACTAAGGTCCTGATCTGGTAAGGTGCCGAGAGCCCTCAACTCCCACTGAAAATCTAAATTTGGCTATTTGGTTACCATTGTAGGGGGACCAAATGAAGATTTAGCATTTGAGGAGAGGGGAGACTTTCTCCTTGAAATGTATGTTGTATGCTACTGCTAAAACAATTGTCTTCTGGTTCGTGTGGAATTTGTAATAACTGTGATGCCTTTTGCTAGTCATTTAAATCTGAAAGTTGTTCTTTTTTAGGACTGCAATTGCCTAGCAAGTCAAGCAATTCTGTTGAGTATTTTGCTCAAAAAGGAAGGACCGAATTTCATCACCAAGGAAGGTGAGATATCCTTTCATGTGACTATTCTAAATATTAGAGGAGGCAGTTTTCTGTGTAGTTCTAATGAACATGAATAATGGACATGGTTACAAAAAGTTGTGTAGCTATTTTCTTCTCTATTAAAGCAGTTTCTGCTTTAGATGGAAAATGCACATCAATATACTGTAGTGTGGAATGAGCTGTTAAATCTAGTAACTCTTTTAAATTGTTTGCATGCAGCATGTTGCCTATTCATAATTCTGAGCAAACAATTTTTGTCAGAAAGGGTTTGATTTTGTATAATAAAATGAAGCTGAAGACAGGTTGTGTGTGCCTCTGCCTCTTAGTCTAAAATGTATTAGGAATCTTATATGGATGGTTTTGTTTTATTTTCCTTATTTTGTAAAATCAGATTTTATTTCAAAATATTATCTATAGAGGTTATTCTGCTTCAGTTTTATATCAAAGTTTTGTATTAAAATGCAGAATTTAAATACACATAAGACATTGCGAAACATAAGATAATAATAATCCAATAATGCTAACCTAGATAATGGTAGATTGGGACCAGCTCTGCTTCCCTCAGGAAGCAAACGGATGGGAAGGGGAAAATAAGGGTTGGGGAGTGGGGGAGCTATGGCTCCATACAGGCCAGTGGTGTGAGCTGTACCCTTTCAAGGCTGCTGTAAACTGTTTCCCACCCCTCAACCCACAGACACATCCCAGAGAAAGAGGTGATCAGAGGTGGAATTAGGACTCTGCTTCACATTTTCTCCCTTGGATAATCGTAGGGTATTATAGTTTACCCACTACTTTATTTCACAGAGCTCTACCTGAAGATGGTCTAATTCTATGTTAGTGCACATGATGGAGACTTGGCACTTGTAATATAAATACACCTTATATGCAGTATCGCAGTATAATACACATCCTGGAAAGTACTAAAAAATACAACATGCTTCATTGTATTTTATTTTTTTAACTTTATTTTTATTGTTTTTATTTAACAATATTGTTTTATTTAACTTTATTTTTATTTGTTTTGTGTTTATATTGTAAATATATACAATATAAACACAAAACATATATGAATATATTCACAAGATGGAAATATCATATAAATAACAACATTCAGTATTTGTTATTTGTAAAACCTGGAAAACAAAACAAAAACAAGCAAACAAACAAAAAACCTTAATCCATAGAGGTTGTGCAGGGCATCAATTACTAAAGTGACTAAATAGATAAATAAGTAAGAACATGTAAGTGAACAGGGGGTTGGACTAGATGACGTCCTGAGGTCCCTTCCAACCCTGATATTCTATGATGTCTTATGAGCATCAGGGACTAATATACTAAACTGCAAAAGTATGCAGTAGTTTCATGTGTGACAAGGCACCCTCATATTTCTTCCAAGTGTTTCTATTAGGCACAATCATTTTTTCCATTAGTGGAGTAGTAGAGAGCTCACTAAGCTAGTCGGTATATGAGGGAGGAATTGCAGATTTCCATTTTCTAAAAATAACTCTTTTGGTCACTAAAATAGTTACTGCAGTCAATTTCTTAATGTTAACTGGTAATACCAACTCATCCAAACCCCTAAAATACACAAGCTTGGCTCAGCAAAGATAGCAACTCTTAAAGTTTTTGGGAGTGCACTGAATAGGGTGTTCCAGAACACGTGCATTTTTGACAGGTATAAAGGATGTGTGAAAGGTTGATTCATTGTATTATAAAAACATGTTTAAGGTTTTGTGAATTTTGGCCACTGTATCCAGACACGTGGTCTACTTCTGAACATCAGGGAGGTGTTCACCCTCCCACAACCCCAAATTGTCTGGAAAGTAATTTGTTGTGGGCTTAGACACCTCCGTAGCTTTCTGTGGTCATTACTCTGAATATGTAGTTTCTTGCTCTAATGGAAAATGTTCATAGGAAACCTCCCACATTGAAGGTTAGTTGCAACCAACACAATCACCTCATCTCCCTGATCCTCAGCTCATAATGAAGCAAGTACTCATCTGGAGACCTCTGGGATTAATAAAATTCTTGCATTGCCTTCTGATCAGATAGTACTAATCTGTGCAAATCAGAGGCCTCATCCAAGATGAAGTAGTGGATAGTGATAACTTTAATAATTACTGATCTTGCATTAAAGAGTACAAATCATTGACTAGAGTCCCTGGCCAGCTAATTTCTTAGGCTATCCCACACGGGCAGTGAGACTGACATTCAACACTGAATATGTGTTGTACACAATAAATAAATAAAATATTCTCTTCCTACCTAACCTCCACTTCTACCAATAATGGTTTGAAGGACCTAAGTCCTTCCAGCTGACATGCCCAGGGCCTTCAGATTTACATATCCACAAGCTATTGATCTTGCAAATCAACTCTCTCATGCACCCTACATTGTCTATTGAAGGGAGGTTGCTGCTACACCTGGGGGGTGGATATAAGTGCATCTCATCTATGAATTTTAAATCTGATGGATATTTCAAGCCTAAGGAATTGAATGGTTATCAGCACCCACTCTGACTTCTCACTGAGTGGTCTCCGTGCAACTCCCAGTTCTCAATCCTTTACCATTGAGGCAAAATTAGTGCAGCAGGGCCTGTGGATTTGGGGGAAGGTGATATAGGAAACGAGTTCTGAGCAGTGCAATATTGTATAATAATGCATATTGAGCTATTACAAGTGCTGCTGCATTACTAGTCTATTTGTAATAAAACTGTCAGACTTCATTTTCTGGACATTCTTACCAATGCCCATTTTTGGTCTATTTAAATCTTCAGCCATCCTTCAAGGTAGTCATCAAAAAGAAAATCTTTGAAAAATAAGCCAATAATTCACATTTAGGAAAAGTTATTATATACTTAGCAACAGAAAAGAAACCAACTTTATTTTTTTATGTTACATGTATTTTAGCTGGCTGCTTATATGAAAATTATAAAATGCTGTAGAACATTTGATTTATTGAGTTTTCTTATGGTATCCCAACAGGTTTGACGAAAATTAGTCAGAGTTACTTGAGTGGTGTCAAAGGACACAGGTGATGACTAGGTGGCAGGTTAAATTTAAACTTTAAAGTTAAACATGTACTTAAGTGCTTTACTGAATCTGGTTCAAAATTAACTAACATCTCTATCAAACTTATTTTATTGTTGCTGAATAAAAGTCACTACAGCTTTTATTTTTTTCATGTGTTTAGGTACTGTTTCTGATCAGATTGAAAGAATCTATAGACGAGCTGGCAGCAAAAAGCTCTGGTTTGTATATAATATCTTTGTGTTTCACTTTTGTTTGACAGATAAATGTTGTTTTCCTCATGTTTATGAAACATAAGGCCAGATTTTTAGGTAATGTAAAGAAGCACAGCTCTGCTGACTTCAGTTCAGCCATACCAGTTTACACCAGCTGAAGATCTAGCCTGTATCTCTTAACATAAAGAAACAAATGGAAATTAATGTACATGTGATGTACCTTGTTCCTGTCACAAATATATCACAAAGCAGATGGCTCAGTGATCAGAGCAATAAATGTTATTCTTCATAAATTGGTCTGTAGCCATGTGAAGACCCATTAGTATAAACTGTGATTGTCGACGTTGTCCCTGAAATCAGGGTGACTGGTATTACTTTTTCTTGTAGAATTGTGTTAAAATATGTCCATTTAACAGGTTGCATGGTAAACATACAGTACTAGTCAAACAAAAAGAATTAGAATTAGTAGGGTAATTGACATGATCATCTCTTGGGGAGAATGTTACAACAGTATAAAATAATGGCTTTCAGTAGCAAGGTTGGTAGTCAAAAAAATTAAATTAATAACAAAAGTAGCTACATTTATGCAGCTTACTGCTTATTGTTCCTGAAGACATTTGGGTTAATGATGGCTTTACCAAAATAATTTTTAAAGGGTTGGGAAAGTAAAGTATAGTATTTTACATGTAGTTTGAGTAATTGCTTTATTCAGACTGAAAGTTGAATAGAAATCTCATTATTTAGTATAGAAAACAAGATTTGAGCCTAAGATGAAGCCCACTCTCACCTTGTAAATACTGTTAACCAATAAGGTGTTTTTTGGAAAAGATATTAACTACATAAATACAAGAATTGATTTCAGTTTTTTAGTTTTAGTCAGTTAATAAATGAAATGGACCTGTATCCAATTATAAACCAAATGTTTTCATTGTTGGTATTTTTAATACTTAGAAAACTGAGGCATTTTATAAAACTAAAATATGTAAAGTCTTATTTTTTATTTCTCTTTTATGATTGTCATATGACATACCTAGGTTGATGGTACGCTACAGTGCTGCATTTACACAGAAATTTGCTTCCTCTATAGCCACACATATTACTACTTTGCTGGTACATGGGAAACAGGTAAAGTGCACAGAGGTCTTAAATAGTGCTGCTTGAGATTTGTTGGCTTACTTGCATTTTGATGGATCAGCTAGCGCAGTTTTGAAATGCTTTGCTCTTGATTTTGAAAGAGGGCACACCATTTTTCACAGAAGTCAGTATCAGTTGGGTTGATGGATTTTGTACTAACTTTATTGAATATTGTAACTTGTTCATTAACTCTCTTGATAAATGATTCTTTGCAGCTACAAACCCCATGTAAGAAAAGCTTAAACTTAGCTTAAACTTCAGTTTCCATTTTGTCATGAAATTATGTTTTATAAAGTTAAATATTACTTTTTAATAGTAATAATACCGTGTAATTCTAGTTATTTTTTAAATTTGCAGCCAGTTTTAAACCCAGCACTTTACATGATTCCCTTCTTTTCATCGCTTACATATAAAATATTGCCTGGAGGCAAAAATTGTCAAAAATGTCATTTAAATATTTGTTGCACATGCTGTACTTACTCTTACAACAAAATTTTTTGCCTAATCTTTCAGTATAACTTTCTGAGAAGTTAAATGCTTTATTTCCTTTGCAAAGAATGAGTAATATGGTTTGCTTGAAAATTTCTAAATCTTTCAAAAACAAACCAAAACATCTACCAAAGAGAAATTTTTCACTAATTGCAAATTGGTGGCAAACAAAAACATTGGTGGCAAACAAAAACAGACATTCTTTGACAGAAGAAATAATGATAACATGCTGTTTTCTTAACATGTTGTGAGAGAAAAGAAAGCCAGCTTATTATTTGCAGTCCATAGTTTAATGAGTTCTAACTGTTCCCAATACAGCTATTATTGAATACTTGCTCTAGTGATTAATAAAAAAGAAAAACTGTATGAAGTGACATTTCAAAAAATTATATGTATATTCATGGTTAGTCTTTTGGGACTTATCAAATGTGGTGACAAAATTCAAACACATATTTGAATTCATTAAACTAGCATTTGATATCCAGTGGGATTGCTCTGTTTTCTGCCCTCAGGTCTGTTGTGCGCTTCGCAGCAAGCCTTTTAGGTAAACTAGTGGACAGCCTTGCACCATCTATTACTAATGTTTTAGTTCAGGGCAAACAGGTAAGTCTGCATTTTTCAGAATTGCATTCAGCAATGGTGATCAAGAGAAAAAAATCTATATAGGCTCTTTCATTTTGTAGGTCTCAGATACTTTAAAAAGTACAAGACTCAAAAAGCTCATTTATTAAATAACAAAAGAACTGAGTAAAATAAAAATTAGTAAATATAATGTTCTGCATATACTTGTGCTAAGAAATGTATGCATATCTAATGAAGTTGAGAGCAACACAGAGTAGATAGTTGAGAAGACCAGAACTAGATGGGGAAGAGGAGAGAGACATGCTGCAATTAAAGTTAAGGGGGAAAATATATGTGAGAAATTTTAAGGAAGAATTAGTATACAAAAGGACATTGAAGCAAGTAGTAAAACATTATTTAAAGAAAAAGTTAATATATAGAACCTAAAAAGCTAAAAAGGATATTAGTAAATTGTGTACTATGAGTAGCCAGTGAGTGGGGAACTTTTCACCATTCACATTTTTCTGTCTTTACACCTCTGCCTTTGTCCTAGACCCTAAATTGGACTATTGTTTGCTCTCCTGGCACAAAAAGTTTAAAGTAATTATAATATGATTATAAAAAGTTTCTTTCAATTCGAAAAATATATATATTGGGCCATTTCATCATGAAGTTATTCCAAACACGAAGGGCTGGTAGCATGCTTCTGGTGCTATGTAGGAAAGTCAATGTGCATGTAGAGTGGTTTGTAGTTGCTTATTTTCACCTTTTTTTATTAACCTGTCCTGGTCAAAACATTTTTAATGTAGATTTTTTTAAATGTCAGGAAGAGTGTGTGTTTCTCTGTTTCACTTACAGTAAATGAGAAATTTTAAAATTTTACATTTTTAAGCATGTTTTTCTTTTGGCTAATTAGTCCAATATCTTGATTGCATTAGAATTTTAAAACCTAGAACACAATTTTGGAAAAAAAATAACAGTAACAAGAATCATGATTCCTTAATTTTAAGGAAGGCTTGCTAGAAAGCTATGACCTGGGAAAGGAAAGTACTATCTAGAAAACTATCCAAACTGTTCCAAAATAAAGTGATGGCCTACTAAGGTTTCTTTCTCTTGGGCCAGTTACTCTTACCAATCAGTTGACACCACACTATATTTTACCCCGAATGCAGTTTTAATACTACCAGGAAAAGCTTAGACTATGAAGTCTAACTTATAATTGTCATCTGTTGTTCCTGTTTTTTCCCCTACATTGTTGCTAATATGTTCTTAGGTGACTCTTGGAGCTTTTGGCCATGAAGAAGAAGTTATTTCCAATCCCTTGTCTCCAGGAGTGATTAAGAACATCCTCTACGACAAGTGTAATTTACAGGATGAGAGGGAAGCTGTAATTCAACAAGAACTTGTCATTCATATTGGCTGGATCATCTCAAACTCACCTGAACTATTTAGTGGCATGTTAAAAATACGAGTTGGGTCAGTAACATGTCTTTGTTTCTTTTTTTTTTTATTATTTATGTGTATTATGGTAGCAACAAGATGCCCCAGCTAAGATCAGGGCCCTGGTGCGCTAGTGATTTATTTAAGCAAATATACTGAAGCTTTTATTTATTTATTATATTTTGCACTAAGTCTTAGTTTATTTTGCACTTAGTTTAATGTGATATGTATTCTGCTATAGTAATATTTCCAGCTAAATTAGAGTTAGTTCAGGTAAATATCACGTACATGTTCTTTTTCAGAGAATATACTTGTCTTTCCAACCCAAACTTCAGATCATTCAGCAGGATATAGTTCTTCTATACTAGCTCTATTAAAACATTTTTATCACGCAAGTCACAGTCAGATTCACATTACTCTGCCAAGCTGTATACAGTGCGCAGTATAATGAGTATTACTTTTATGCAGTGTTACATGGTGGAGTCACTTTATTACATCTAAACAAAGCTTTTAAAATGGAGGCTATTTTCCGAGATTTTATGATGCTATCTTTTCTTTCTCAAGTAGTTTCTGCTTGACTGCTGATTTACCTTTTTCAGATTCAATTTATATTATTTTTGTTGGATAACATCCTCATCTTCTGAATTACTAATTTTGTGCTGAAGCTTCTTAGATTTCGTGTGAACTATATATGTTTAATTTATTCTAAAAATAGGTCCCCTGCTGTTTTATTTTTGCTTTTCTATATTCACCATATACTTTAGATGAGAAATATTACTTCTTTTCTTTAAATGCTATGTCAGTAAAGTTAAAAATTTAATTCTACTATCATGTAAAATTGTATTTATGTACAGTAGAGGAGCATCATCATGAAGAAAAAACTTAATGGAAAGCTTAAACTTTCTTAGTTCTTGAAGTGATTGCACATGTACATTCCACTCTTAGTGTTGGTGCATCCAGTACATGACTGTTGGAAACTGCTTGCCTCAGCGGTACCAGTTGGGTGACTTGAGCTCATTCTGCTGCCGCATGCCACTGCGTGACGATATTAAAGGCGGAGCCACCCATAGACCTGCTCAGTTCTTTCTTACAACCTGAAATGGTCATTGGAACTCTGTTTTATACCAGAACAGTTTTAAATTAATCACTGCTTCGCTTGGGAACCATATAGGAGGTTCCATGTGGTCTCTTTGGGAAAGAGAGAGACAGAGTGTGTGTGTTTAAAAAAAAAAAAAAGGACATGTTTCTCCCCCCCCCCCCCCATTCCTGGTATTGAGGTATACCCCAGTCACCAGGTTTCAAGTCATGTGCTGCTTGCTCCAGGCCTCTGCCAGTGAGCGACCCGCACCATAGCTCCCTGAAGTGCTTGGGGAAAGCACATGTGAAGGACTGGTTCTAGATTTGCAGGGTGTTCGAGCCTAGGATGAAGAAGGATAGGGAAGCTAAACTGAAGCTCCTGCTGACGGAGGCAGCTCTCAAGCTACCGTCACAGCTGTCCTAGTCTTACTCAGGGTCATGTGCTGCAGCTTAAGTGAGAGAAACACCTGCAGATATTGGCAAATCCCAGCACTGTTCTCCCTTCCTGTACCAAGAAAGAAATACAAAGCTTCCAGAGAGGAAACAGTCAAGGGAAAGTTTCCACCCTCTACGTCTGGGAAGAGGGTCAAGAAGGAGTCAAGTAGAGTGCGCCTGTCAGACCTCTTTCTGATTCCATGGTCACTGGGATGCATGTATTCCTACCCACCAATTCCTTTGATACCAGGAATCCTCAGGAAGATCAGACAAGATGCAGACCTAACAACAATAGCCCCAGCAAGGCCCAGGCAGTTTTGGTATTCCAACCTCATGATCCTGTCAGCATGGCTCCCCGATTGTGTTCCTGATACAACCAGATGTGATCACACAATTGGAGGGACAAATCTATACCCGAAGCCAACATCCCTGCATCTCACAGCCTGGATGCTGGCTGGCTGACATCCACTGACAAATTCTGTTCTCAACAGTTGAAAACATCCTGGTTTGCAGCAGAAATGACTCCACCAGACTTGCCTGTCCCACTAAATGGAAGAGTTTCTCAATCAGGGCATTAGATAATCATCTATCTCCCTTTTAAAGCACTGCTGTCTGACATCATAGAATCATAGAACTGGAAGGGACCTCGAGAGATCATCTAGTCCAGTCCCCTGCACTCATAGCAAGACTAATTATCTAGACCATTCTTGATAGGTGTTTGTCTAACCTGCTCTTAAAAATCTCCGATGATGGAGATTCCACAGTCTCCCTAGGCAATTTATTCCAGTGCTTAACCACCCTGACAGGAAGTTTTTCCTGATGTCCAATCTAAACCTTCCTTGCTTCAATTTAAGCCCATTGCTTCTTGTCCTATCCTCAGCAGTTAAGAAAAACAATTTTTCTTCCTCCTCCTCCTTGTAACAACCTTTCACATACTTGAAAACTGTTATCATGTCCCCTCTCAGTCTTCTCTTTTCCAGACTAAACAAACCAATTTTTTCAATCTTCCCTTATAGGTCATGTTTTCTAGCCCTTTAATTATTTTTGTTGCTCTTCTCTGGACTCTCTCCAATTTGTCCACATCCTTCCTGAAATGTGGCGCGCAGAACTGGACACAATACTCCAGTTGAGGCCTAATCAGAGTGGAATAGAGTGGAAGAATTACTTCTTGTGTCTTGCTTATTACAGTCCTGCTAATACATCCCAGAATGATGTTCTCTTGTTTTGCAACAGCATTACACTGTTGACTCATATTTAGCTTGTGGTCCACTATGATCCCCAGATCCCTTTCTGCAGTACTCCTTCCTAGGCAGTCATTTCCTGGACTACATGCTCATCTGAAAGGATCTGAACCTCTCCATCAACTCCGTAAGAGTATACCTGGTGGCTATCTCTGCTCACCATCCTGTACTGGGAGGCCAAACTGTCTTCTCTCATCCAAGAGTGGATAGATTTCACAGAGCTCTCATTCATGTCATCCCACCAAAGAGACTCCATTGTGCTGAGACCTCAACATTGTTTTAACAGGTTTGACAGGAGCTTCCTTTGAGGTCTTGGTGACCTGCTTCTTGTACCACTTCTCCATGAAGATTGCCTTCCTAGTTGCTGTAACATCAGCCAGAAATATAGGAGAGGTTCAGGCCTTTATGGAAGGACCACTTTGTGTTATTCCACAAGGACAAAGTTACATGAAGACCTTGCCAGAAGCTTTTATCTAAAGTCATTTCTGACTTTAATATAAATTGGATGACCCATCTACCTGTCTTCCTCTCCAAGCCTTGCATCACATGAGCAGAAGCTAAACTTCACACTTTGGATGTCAGGCCTCTTTCTTACTATCTGGACAGAACAAAGCTGTTGAGAAACTCTCCTAGATTGTTCATAGCATTTGTTGATAGAATGAAGTGACAACCAATCTTCACTCAAAGACTGTCAAAATGGGTCTCAGATTATATTAAGACATGCTACATGGTGGGCCACTTAGACCGATCTGGACAGTTTAGGACCTATTCCACCAGAGCTCAGGCTGCCTCATTAAAAGGTGTCCTTATTTTGGAGATTTGCAAAGCAACTACGTGGAGTTCAGGTCACACCTTCACTCAGTATTACTGCTTGGTATAGGGCTCCAGATATGATGCCCACTTCAGTACAGATGTCCTGCACTCACTGCTTCAGTAGACTGAGTACCCACCTCCATGATGAGTTATTGCATGTGAGTCACCCAAAGTGGAAGATATGTAGACAGTCACGCAAAGAAGAAAGAATGGTGTGTTACCCTACAATAACTGTGGTTCTTTGAGATGTTTGTCCATGTGTATTCTACAACCCAGCCTCCTCCCCACTACAATGGAGTTCCTAGCAATCTAGATAATCTTTTAGCGAAGGAACTGGAGAACAATTGCAGATGCCCTATCCTTTATGACCTCAGCCACAGGGTGTGCAGGGCACAGGTAAGGCCCTAATGGACACTGCTACTGAAAAGGTTATGATTTTGTGTGCATGGAGCACATGCACACCAGAAGAGGAATACATGCCAACAACACATCTTGAAGACCACATTTACTGTAGGGTAGATAACTGTTCTTTGGCAGACATTCCAGAAGGAATGTAATTGCAAGTATATGGATAATTTGCAAGGTAAACATGGGCAGTAGCAGTGTTTTCAAGTCAACTTATCTTTAGTCATACTAAAATACTGGTTTTATTAACAGTTCATATTTGATAGAGTCACTCATAAGTGCAACTGTTTTTTTCATTGTAAAACATACTTTCTGCAATGTCTGCTTATTCACATTACTCACCCCAGAATCTTCTTTAAACCAATCCCAGTGTGTCAGTGTTCCTCTCTGTTCCAAGGTTTCATCCTATAGATTCAATTTCATTTTACTGTTATCACCCACTTCAATAAGTAAAATTAACTTTCTCACAGAAATAGTATTCAAGTCTGATGATGATTTGATTTGGTGTCTCATTATTGATTTGTAGTCTGGCTTTGATGTTGAAAAAGATCAAGTTCCTGGCAGACCCATTACTGTAACAACCTCTAATCACCTGCTTTCTACCCAAGCTCTGTCACTCAGGTTTTAGCAGGAGATACTTCTAAAGGTTTATTATATCAGACATTTTTCATCTCCACATTTTATATGGTCAGAACACCTCACATAAGCAATTACAAACAGAAAATACCTTGTCGGTAAGTGAACTCCTATTGATGCCTGAACTGCATCTTTGTGTCTGTGAACCAATTCCAAAGGTAATTACTGTATTTTAGTAACAGGACAATGACATTGCTTTGTCCAGGCAAAGAAAATAAATGCAATTGATGTTCTGAACCCATAATCCACTAAAAGCAATTTCTATGAGTTTGCTTCTGACTTTTGATATGAGAGTTGGGGTAATGATAGATTTAGCCATGTAGATAGCTATCTTACTATCCATTAATCATCATATCATATGGCTGTCTGAATCATTATTATCCAAGTGCAGTACACAAACCTTCAAATTACCATGTTTTCATTGATAATATATCTCTTGTAGAATACAGCTTCCTTTCATGTGGGTGACACCTGTTTCTGTCTTTCACCACACACTGAGAAATGGGGCACATCTCTCTCATTAACTCAAAATATCAAACCCTTGGTTGCATGGTGATTTTTAAAGATAAGCTTCAAATCTTTATTCAAAAACTTTGTGGAACATCCTAAATCACCAACAGACATGTATTTGTTAGTCTTTAAAAGTCAATATATTTTTTTATAGTTGAAAATGACTTATCCTGCCATACGTCCTGACTTTGAGTCCCTTGCCACACTTGATGACATAACTAGCACAAAAGGGAATCAGGAAAATGTTCCTGGTTACTGACATCTATGGTGTCAGGGTGCTACTCAGGACTTGGCAGGAAAGTGAAGGAGGAATGAATGACTTTATATTCTGAACAAAATATCTGAAAGTGCACTTGTATTATTGAAGTCAGTGTTTCCCGTAAGATGAGGCATGCCTAAAGGACTACCCTCGGTGTGGAGACATGGATATATCTCTCATTTGTTTTCTAGAGTTTCAGAATTCATTTGTTTAAAAAGTCTCTAGTTATAGTTGCAGAGAGAACTTTCAGAACATGAAGTCAATGTAACTGATGCAATGCAGTGACATCTGTATGAGTTTGTAGAGTCTGAAACAATAGCTTTGAGGTGTGTATTGTCATTGGAATGGGCTTTAAGTTAGGTGTCAATGATGAAATTTTAAGTGTCAACATTAACTATATCATAGCTCATCAAAGCATGTAAGAAAGAACATGATGTATCCTATTTTGAAGATCTACCTCAGCAGTACATGGTGGAGTTGCAGGGTTGGGGCATGTAAATGGTTTCGTTTTCCTGAAGTGGGGACTCATTCAAAAGTTTTATAAACAGTGATTCAGTCTACATGCATACACAGAAACTGTGTGAATAATTTAGGGTTTTAAATGGAGACCGCAAAGCTTTTCAATTTGTACTGTGGAATCACTCTTAAAACAGAGGCAAACATGAGTGAGTTTGTCTTGAGTTTATTTGAATTAATAACTTGTAATTTTGACTACTGGGGGAGGCTGGGGGTTTGAGACTGCAAGTTTGTTTTTTTTAAAAAAGTCCAGTATACCCATCTGCTAATCATTTGTTGAAGGTGGTAACACGCAGCTCATGTACTATGAGCCCATCTTTGCCCAATGTATGAGTAGGCATTATGTACAGATTCTCAGTCTTGTTCTACTTCTTTTGCACTATTCTGGGGGTATAGAGGGGAGTGGAAAACAGCTACAATTTCCAAACTAGGGTTCCCCCCCATGTAGGAGGGTCCCCAGCAGGCATATAGGTAGCTCCTATACTACGCCCTCCTTCAGGCCCAGCATAAGGCTTATGACTGGTGTGGGGAATGGGCCTGGGTCAGGATGCCCTGCACACTTATCAGTCACAAGTTAGCAAGTGGTCCCTTGGGAATAATTGTCAGATGGTGGAGTGTACAGCAGCTTATTGCTGGCACAGAAACAGCCAGAGAATTGGGAAATTATAAGCAGTTTCCTTTCCAATTCCCTGCTACAAACATGGAAACTCTGAGAGAACTAAAACAATATTTCTCTTCAAATAGCATTCCTCTTAAATATAACAATACAAAGGCATACACAAATGGAATATCAGAGCTACATATCAAAAGGTGGGCACCATTAAAAGTATGTCTCTTTGCTTCACGTTCAATTATTGGCTGAAATAAACAACATCTGTCTCAGCCTGACTGAATGTATGAGCATATGAAAAATCAGACTTAATTGTTAGGTTATAAGTCTAGTATCTGTCTTTTATATTTTTAGTAACTATAACTTAAATTTCTCTGTAATGAAATCTTACACCTAGTAGAGGGGGAAAAAACCTTTATTTATTTATTTATTTATTTATTGAGAGACATTCCACTAAGTGCAAAATCTTGGATACTTGTTTTATATATTGTCCTGTTTATGTATGTAGGTATGGATATCAGAACTAACTTGAAGGAGGTTGCTCTTTTGTTACTTTATATGTAAGGCCTGGAAAATTGTATTCTGAAGGGCATTGCTCAAGTTTTTAGCCTTTCATAGAAAACACTTTTAAATTAAAACGGCATATGTATGACACAGGAATTTTGAGGCATTTCATTTGTGCCAGACCCAAACATAGCTTCCAAGTTTCAGTGAAGTCTTGATATTAAGTTTCTTATAGAGAAAGAAAAAGTGATACAGTCATCCAAATTTAATAAAATCTGAGTACCACATTATATAATGATTTAAAAAAAAGTTAATTTAAAAAAGGCATGAACAATAAACAGTGATGTATCAAAATACATTGTGATGCTCTACTGATGGTGTAAAAGTGCCATTTTACTGATTAGTTACATTCTTGAATACAGGGCCAGCAATGCCTTTTCAAGAACATATCTGAAAGATGTCAGATGTCAATTAAGTTGAGGCTAACTAAACAGTAAACACAAGCTCTTATTTTGTGTTCAATCTGTAAAGTAGAAGACAGGTGACTCAGTCCAGATGAGTTCCAGTGAGCAAATAATATCATTCTAATTTATACTGTATTGTAATGGAAACATGCCAATTTTTATAAGCAGTTTTAATATTCCATTAAACAATCCAAATATAATTTGCTTTTAACATTTTATGCTTTTTATGACAGTTCTTCTAAAAGAGAGACAAGGTAGGCAAGGGATCAACTTCTGCTGGTGGGAGAGATGCTTTCGAGCTTACACAAAGGTCTTGCCCAGACCTGAGAAAGAGCTCAGTGTAAGCTCGTTAGCTTGTCTGTCTCACCAGCAGAACTTGGTCCAATACAGGGCCAGCCCCAGGCACCAGCATTCCAAGCAGGTGCTTGGGGCGGCGATCTGCAAGGGGCAGCAGTCCGTGTGCCATTACAGCGTTTCCTCGGTGGCAGCAATTCTGCGGCAGCCTCTCTCTTCAGCCGCCTGCGGCGGCAATTTGGCGGTAGCTTCTGTCTTTTCAGCCACTCACGGCGGCGGCAATTCGGCACGCTGCTTGGGATAGCAAAAACGGTAGAGCCGGCCCTGGTCCAATAAAAGCTATTACCTCAACCATCTTGTCTCTCTAATATGCTGAGACCAACACTGTATACAGGTTCTTTTAAATGGCAGCTAATATTGATAGCAGTGTCTGTATGGTGAAACTCACTTTTTTCAGCTATGCCTATACAGTACAGTGCATTTTAAACACCAACTCTTCCATTTTCCCCTTTTTTGTGACTATGGATACCAGCCTTCTCTGTTTTTTATGGAGAAGGATAATATGCAAAATCATTAGGGATAACAGGCACACCTTAAATAGTGTGTTCAGTACCAGATATCATGTGCTATCCTGTCTTTCCTTTAAATAAATAGATATGAGTAGTCATAGTTTAAATCAGTGGGACTACCTTTGTGATTAACTGCTGATCAGTGAGAGTCAGGAGGTTATAATCTGGTTATATCTGAACAAAGTGGACTAGTTTGGGAGGTTTCCAGATACAACTTTTTAATCTCTTGTCAATTTGTTCTCCTTTACCACGGTGAATTCTCTTCCAAGAAGAGACTATATAGCCTGTTATTCCTACATTGCCTGTTGATTCATATTTATTCTCCCTGTTCTGGGCCATTTCTTGACTCCTAATCAGGCTCTACACTGCAAAGCAATGTAGAATATATGTCCAGGTGTAGGAGTCTTGCTGGCATCACAGAAATATCACAGATAGATACTCTTATCTGTGAAATTACAAAGTTTTAAGACTTGTAAATGTGTTTATATAAATAGACTGGGTACCATTAAATAATTTGAGGATGTGTTGTATTCTAAACAAAGTATGTATGAAAGTTGAATACAATGGTGAAAGGTGAATCCCTAAGAAATACTTGCTAGAAATAGACTTGTGTATTTCATTCTCTCTTCATTCCTTCACTATCGTGACTGGACAGAGACTCTAAGCCCTAAAACTACTTTTATTGAGTGTAATGTTACAGGATGCCTGCCCTAGAGGGCCAGAGCTAGTCAAATTTATTTTAACTAGTGACAGCAAATACCACTGTGTGCTGAAGGAACTGTGCTTAGTAAGAAAACAGGGTAGCTGAGTAATCCTACTTCCCAAATTGACCTAGCAATACAGTGTCTTTTCATATTCATTATTCAGTTAAAGACTGTAGGACTTAATTGTCTCTGTAAGATATAAAATAAACCATTTTCCATCTCCTTTCTAATGGTTTGCAAATTCTGCATCCCTAAGACCTAAGGCTGAATGTTGAACAGAAAAATATGATTGATTCCATAATTATTTTAATTAAATCACAACAGCAAAATAATTTTAAATATTAACTGACTTTTTTAATATCTGAGGACAGGTAATGCTTTTTCAGTAAAGGTCAGTGATATAAGAGGAAATTCATGGGGCAAGCATATTTTCCATGTAAATGGCACATGTACAACAATATTATTTTACAACCCATCTCCTAAAACTGTTTCAGTACTACTTTCAGTTTGGATAAAATACACTGTGGGAATCTGAACAAACTCCATCACAAAGTAAAATTGGTATAATAGCATCTTGTTGACCTAGTTATTGATGCATCTCTTGGCAGCCCAAGTTACATAAAAATGATCTTTCTGGGTTCTGTAGGGGTATTGTATCAGACCATTTTGTTTTAGGAAAGTGCACTTTTCTTGTCTTCTAGTAAAAAGCATATGTTCTGTAATTCAGAATCCTATATAAACATATATAGTTAAACTCAAAAGGAACCACATGATGTTTTTTCTCCAGCTATCTGGCCAGGTAGAGGAGAACTATGTTGTTAAAAAGTTCTGTTTCATACATTTCAAAAGGTATGTGTTTTTGTAATGTCCTATAAATAAATATTTTCCTTTTTATATTTCAGATGGATTATCCATGCTATGAAGTATGAACTAAAAATCCGTGCTGGGGATATGCCACCCATGGATTTATACCGGCTGTCGCCTAGTGAAGTGAAGCAGCTTCTGTTGGATATTCTTCAGCCACAGCAGCAAGGGAGGTAATGAGATCTGAGTTTGTATCTCATGCTGCTATTCGTAATAGATTGATTGCATAATCTTTGTGTTTCTGAAATAATTTGTATGCATCTTAAATCACTAGGTATCTGCAATCAATAATGTTTCAGTCATACATTATGTATAAGGCTGTGAGACAGTCACGGAGGTCATGGAATTCAGGGATTCCGTGACTTTCTGGGACCTCCATGACTTCTGCAGCGGCTGGTGTGGCAGGCCCGGGGGCCGCCTGAGCAGCTCGGGCAGCTGTACCAGCTGCTGCTGAGGCAGTCTCGGGCCACCGCACCCCATCATCCCCCAGGAGCAGCAGCAGAAGTTTGGGTACATATGGGAGGAGGTTGGGGCGTGGGAGGGGGTGAGGGCTCTGGGCAGCGCTTACCTTGGGGGGCTCCCCAGAGGTGGCAACATGTCCCTCCATCAGCTCTTAGCTCTGTGCGCTGCCTCTGCCCAAAGGCATCGCCCCCGCATCTCCCATTGGATACAGTACCCAGCCAATTGGAACTGCGGAGCCAGCGCTTGGGGCGAGGGCAGCACGCGGAGCTAGGAGCTGAGGGAGGGACATATCGCCACTTCTGGGGAGCCGGGTAGGGAGCCTGCCAGCCCCACCAACCCCCCAACACCTGCAGGGGTCCAGGGCTGCGCACCACTGCCCCCCACCCTGCAACACTGGCGGGAGTGGGGGAGGTCCTGGGCTGCTCCCCCCTAGCACAAATCTGGTCCCAAGATTTAGTCAGGGGTATATAGTAGAAGTCATGGACAGGTCACGAACTGTGAATTTTTGTTTACTGCCCATGATCTGTCCATGACTTTTACTAAAAATACCTGTGGCTAAAACATAGCCTTAATTATGTATACAGAGGTAGTGAAGACACACATTGATTTGTTTGTTCTTTTAGCTGTCTGCAATTTTTCTGATTTTCTTTTACGTCTAAAATTCTGCCCTATTGCCCCATAATCCTTGTGTGAAACTTTACAATAAAGTAATATTTGATACCGTAGACATTCGATGTGTAGGATTTTCCTCACCTAGCCTGACACTAGGAACCAAACAACATCCCAAGACTAGTTACTTAAGGAGTTTTCACCAGTCAGAGCAGGGTTTATTGACTGCTTGTTGATCTCCTACTGAGCTGTAATTATTCCTTGTTTAAATCCCTGTCTCCTCACCATCCTCAAGCTCAGGTACATTGTCTGACATGTACCATCTGCTTTAAGGCTGTAGCACTGGTTTTTATTAGCTGCCAGAGAGATCATTTTTAGTTGGTGCATCACAAATGAGCAGGATAGAAGCTGAGGGCATTATCTCCATGCTGGTCACAAATTGATGTGGGAGACCGAGGTTACAAATTTCCTCTTACAGGCTGTGTGTTAGTTTAAATTTTTGCAATAAGGCTTGCTTACGTGGCTCATAATTTCTATAGTCCTTCTGGGCCATGGGTGACAGTCTTCCCTGTCAGTAAAGGAGATAGATACCATACATTCACTTCACAGTTCACCTCCAAAGCATATAGAAATACATCTATGTCATTCCCATACCTGTAGCAAGGTAACCATTTAAAATCTATGCTGCCTCCTAAGGCTGGTGTTCAGTCTCTGTCCCCACTTACCAAATTGATAGGCACTGACTGTGCTGTAGCTTCAGGTCCAATTCATATCTTCATAGCTTCTTTCTCACACCCTGCTCACGGTGGTGCTGTTTCTACTCGTGCTGGCACTGGGCCAGCTCCAGTTTCTTTTTTTCTAGCTGCAGCTTTTCCTCCTCTAGACTCTGCTGATTCAGGGAACTCTTAATGGCATTTGGTTGTTTCTTCGGTCACTGTATACATCATCGTCCACACCAGGGGTTCTCAGACTTTTGTACTGGTGACCCTTTTCACATACCAAATCTCTGAGTGCAACCCTTCTTATACATGAATTTAACAGTTCAAAAAGTCTTTTGTGCCCGACTTCCGCCTGAAGCTCCAGCATGCCTGGAGGGAGACTTCACAGGGCTTGTTCCCTTAAGTTCTCGTGACTAGGATTATCTCTAAAGCCACTGCCTGCCTTCCTGCAGATCTGTATAACCACCCAGAATTAAATAAACTCTTTGATCCCAGGTAGCTACTGGCATCACAGTAATCAAATAAACAGAGGTGTATATATGATATTCGTAGTAATAATACAGATATCTCTTTTGTTCTTCACAGAGAATAAAGGTAACCGAAACTGGTGGCTATTCTGTTACTCTGTTCAAACACTCAAAATGTTATAAGGTGGGAGTGTAAGGGTGTAATAAATTTTCTAAGAGTAACAGGACCAGCTCGTTCAATTATAGAAAACTATTCAGCACAGCACTAATTAAAATTTAGGTTACCTATACAAATTGGTTACCTATACAAATAATTCATAACATTTAGTTTTCTGACTTCTCTGCCGCCAATGTCTGGTGCATGCATACAGGTTAGACATACTGCTCTCCTAAAAAAGACTTGTTAATTTTTAATAAAACAGCTATATCTTTGAGCTGAGAGATAAAGTATGAAATGAGGCACCTGGTCCACTATTCATTTTCTTCTGCACTCCTTTTTCTTAATATTAAAATAACTGAGGAAAACAGCACTTACCCTCAGAATTTAGTTTGGTTTCTCAGGAAAGCTCTCTCAGTTCAATACAGAGAGCTTGTACAAACTCCTGCTGCATGGGAAAAGATTTTCTCCTTCGAAGAGAAGACCTCTGAAGACTATACTGCTGCTAGGAAAGAATTTTTTTAAATAAATACTTAAATAGAAATATTATAAACTAACTATGAAATATTGCTACTATAGACTAATTTTATAAACTGAATTTACTCATTACAACCATTACCAGTTCTCACAGTTTTGTTGCTAGTCTTTGTGTTTGTCTTTCTTAAAGCCCCAGCCCTGGGAGTCATGTTTTTTTGTAATAATCTCACCTTTCTTTTAAAAAGAAACGTAAATTTGTAGTCCTTTATAATTGCAAAGAAAAGTTTGAAGATATGATCCACTAAAGGCTCAAAAACTGAATGACAAATAAACAGAATCCAAAATTTATTATCCTTTAAAATCTCATGATTAAGCTCATCTCATAATTCTGGGGGATCTGACTCATGATTTTTCAATGTTTGTGGTTGGCAATACTGTATTACACTAGTGTACTAAACCCTTATGATTTTTTGTTAAATTAACTGTAGAATCAACTTCATAAATGTAGGTTTCTTAATTTCTTTAAAATTACAAATGCTGTAAAGCACTGGACATTTGGGATGAAGCACCAACAAAATTTCAGCTTACCAACTTCAATTTTTTTTAAATTAAAACGTGCAAAAATGTCTCTTCAACTTAGTACACTTTTTGCAGTCTAATTTGGAATTGCAGGGTTTAATATGGAAGCTGTACTGGCACCGTAAATTGTATTACATGCAGTAGAGGGGATAATAAAGGAAAATTTATACTGTAGTTGTATTAGCATGGATCATGGTTTCTTCTTTATGCAACGTGTATACATTTTGGTGCCATACACATGTGCCTGACAAATTGTATCTCCGGTAAATTAAATGGCAAATTTGCTTTCCCTAAACATATATATGTTTTCTTATGTATTATAGGTGTTCTGTCAAATTCTTCCCTAGTGCCTGGTAACTTGATTGACTTCGGTGAAGTTACAGCAGAGTTTAATTTGGCCTATGTCCTGTTCTGTGTTAAATCAATTTAAGTGTTAAATTTGTTAGACCAGTTAATAAGATAACATTCCAGACTCTAAATCATCTTGCTTTTGTTCTCTTTAGGGTCTATTTTTATTTCCATTTAAAATATTTAACAGGAAATGCAACACACACTGTGTGTGTATCATTGATGGATATTTACTGTTATTGCTTACCCTAATGGCTTATTTAAACCACAAAGAAAGCTTTGTTTTGAATCTGAAACAGATTGGTTTTTCAAGCCCTTCAGTCATTTTGTTTTGTCCACAGATGTTGGCTTAATAGACGTCAAATAGATGGTTCTCTGAATCGAACTCCCCATGGTTTCTATGACAGGGTGTGGCAAATCTTGGAGAGAACCCCCAATGGTGTAATAGTAGCAGAAAAATATTTACCACAGGTAAAAAGAAAATATTTAGAGAGTTGCACATTGGTTTTTAAATTACTGAATGCATTGCCATTGTCTTTTTCTTCTCTTTTCATGGAATGTTTGCTACAGCTAACAAAGGATTCCAGGTGTAAAATAACATATTGGACATATGGTGCTGGAAGAAGACTTTACATATAAGAAGCTTTGAGTTTACTATTTGCTTGTAACTGCAGTGAAAATATTTTAATATTCTGAAGGGGAAAATAAATCTCAGACTAGACTCCTAACAGACTGCCTTTATCATTGACTAGAAATTTGCTTCTCCTTTGATCCAACAGAACCCAAATTGTTAATGTTGGATAAATAATCCACAACAAATAATCCAACCAGTTCTATTAGAATTATTTTTATTGAAATCAAATGGTTAAAATATATGCAGCATTTTATTATTTGTTTTATTTCTTTTTCAGCAACCAACACTATCTGATATGACTATGTATGAGATGAATTTTTCCCTTCTGGTTGAAGACATGTTGCAAAATATTGACCAGCCTGAATACAGACAAATTATTGTAGAGGTCAGTATCATATGAGTAAGAGAAGTTTTATATATGTGACTTGTTCGTAACAATTTTGAGAGAGAGTAACTGAACCCCACAGAGAATTGAATTAACGGGAATGGCTTAAAATCACAGATAAGCACCTGCAGATCCAAACTACTATGGCAGTTTTTAGGACACTGTCTCCACAGATTTTTGTGTTTTATATTAAGCAGGTTCACATTAATGTATTTGGATAATGCATTTCAGGATGTTGGGGTCCCCACACTGCACCAAACAAAGCAAACAGTAGCCATAGCGTTAATAATACTGGGCCAGGGGAGCGGCAGACTTTTAAACAAAAAGCTAATTCCAAAATAGCACTATTTGCAGCCCCCAGCTTAAGCCATGGGATCCTTTCTTCAGAACCCAACTGTTCTAAACACCAGTTCCACCTGCCAGATGACGACTCCTCCCTCCCATCTCTGTTGGGCAGTCCAAAGAGCCACACTTGCCCAATGAATCAACAGTATTTAACCACCAGCTACCTCCACCAGCTAACAAAGTGAGGCAATAGAGTCCTGCCATCCTGTTATGCACTTTTACCCCTAGAACCAAGCCCTGGGCATGCTGTCTGAGCAAACCAGGGGGCAGTTCTCCCTTCAATAGCTGCCAGAGTATTTGGCCTCTGTGCAGCCACTAGTATTTCTTGCCTGCAACTATGAATCTGTCCCTGGATATTCCCTGGCACTCAGGAGTTCAAAACTATTTTGATCATGCCCAACAACTACTGGCATGTTGAGTACAACATCTCAACCTGCAGCTGAAAGATATGGCCTGGAGTCCCCAAGGACACAAATGATCAATATGCACTCCACCACCAATTGCTTGTCACACCCTTAAGGCCTGCAAAACAGTCATGCAAGTCAGTTATTCCCATTTTAAATGCAGCTATAACAGCAAGTAATTCAGGATCCTTTGACTTAAATTTGTTGTTTGTTGCTTATACATATTCCATTGATAAGACATCTAGATTTCAGTTGTTTAATGTGTCTGATTATACAAATGCTTGCCCTTGCCTACAGCTAAGCCTTTATCTATTCCCTTGTGTTGGTTATTTGCTCAGATTACTGTAATGATCTTTTGACTGTTCTACCTACTTCATCAATTTCAAACATACATTTTTACGTAAAATTCTGCCTTTTCAATATATAGAAATTCAAAAATTATCTGTTTACACTGCCATAATGAAGATGTTTCTTCACGAATCACTTTATGGCTTGATTCAAGCATGAGCCTGTGTTTACAACGTCATCTTTTACGTAACCTGATTTCAAACTGGCCTAAAATTAAAGGTGTTTGTTTATTTTTTTTCTATTCTAGTTGTTAATGGTTGTATCTCTTATTTTGGAGAGAAACCCTGAGTTAGAGTTTCAGGATAAAGTGGATTTGGACAAACTGGTGAAAGAAGCATTTCATTATTTCCAGAAAGATGAGACCAGGCTAAAGGGAGTTGAAAAGCAAGTGAGTAAAATATTCACTTCATGTAAAATTTAGAGTTCTTGTCAATCAAAGACAAAATTTGGTAACAAATTGTAAATGTGTGAGGCTGAAAATAAAACAGACATACAGAACTCCCAAATGGAATCCATGAAATTTAATTCTATTTAAGTGTAAGCAGAGTCAGAATGAGCTCTACCCTGACATCTGGTGGTGAGCTGTGGAAAAGGATTTCAGGGGTTGATCTCATTTGCCTGGGCACAGCCCCCCACCCCCAGCATGATGGGACTGCTCACCCAAATGGTCACTTTGGATGCTGTGGAATCCCCAGTCTCTTTGTGATTGGGGCAGAATTGTTGTTATCCTGGTTATGTGAATCAAGGACAGTTGAACTGTACTTGGCATTTTATAAGTAGCACTCGCTAGGCAAGGGACATGGGTTCCAAAGCCTAGTGAACTGAGAGAGGATGGGGACAGGTATTTGTACCTCGGAGTGTGGGCTCCTTCTGAGGGCCCTCAACACCACTTTGACCCTTCCTCTCTCCACTGTGTAATAACAGAGCTAATTTTGACTTCATTAGGAGTCTTGTTACATGCTGCGGAGCTGAAATTACTGATACTTAGGTCTAAGCATTAGACCTACTTTGGACTAGTGGTTCTGAGTGCACCAGCACTGAGGCTCCCCTACTAACACCTGAAATCACTAAAGAGCTGAAGTTACTGAGAAATCACTGAGAGCTGTTAAGTGGGCAGGGAGCCTGAAGACATATTGGTGAGCGGCTAGCAGGACGGCTAGCAGAGAGGCACAGCTGGCGGTGAAGACTGCAGTAAAACCCCATGGAGGGGTATGTCAATTGTCTGTTCACCCGAGCAGCGGAGCATGTAAGGTGCCTCCATACCTCCCCCCACTTCAACCCAGGCTGGGAGGTAAACTCTGCAGATGAACTTCTGAACTCTAGGGACTGCACTGACCAAGGACAGAATCAGTGGGAAGGGTGACTGTTGGGTTGCTGGACTTAAGACCCTGAGGGGAAAAGGACACTGCCAAACTTACTTGGGGGTGGGTCTTCTGCTCATGGTTTGTGTTATGAATCCTGTTCGTGGTGTTTCCCCAACGTAATGTGGCATTGTTTCCCTCTTTTATTAAAAGTCTTTTGCTACACTCAGACTCTGTGCTTGCGAGAGGGGAAGTATTGCCTCTTAGAGGCACCCAGGGGGTGGTATGGAATTGTCCCAGGTCACTGGGTGGGGGCTCGAGCTGGTTTTTGCATTGTGTTATTGAAATGGAACTCCTAGATACTGAACCCAGCCCTTGTTGCTGCTAACTCTGATGGGCAGAAGGGTTACATTTTGGGGGTCTCATCCAGGATTCCTGGGTCAGTACCCCTCACAAGCACCTGTTGAATGACCCACTACATTGGGAAACAATTGTGTTTATATGTTGAGGAAACTACTGTTTGTATAATGGCTAATATGTCAGGTTTGTTGGGCCCCGACTCAGCAGCCTCTAGCTCAGGAACCACAGCCTTGGCTGATGATGGGGCAAAAGCACTTGGGCAAACACTGGAAAAGGTTGTGCTGTCCCATGCTACTTCAAACTCTTGTCATAAGTTAAGGTTATTTGCTGGGGAAGAGGAGTTTGAATCCTGGTTAGAGCATACTACTGAAATGCTGCAAAAGTGGGCCATACCACATGCAGAAAAGCAAAGATGTCTAATAGAGAGTCTTGGTGGCCCAGCATTAGATGTGATTCGCACCCTGAAGCTCATTGACCCTGAGGTCAGTGTGAAGGACTGCCTAGAGGCCCTTGAACACACCTTTGGGAGCGTAGAGGGCCCTGAAGACAGCTACTGTAAGTTCCTTAATTCCCGACAGCAAAGGGGTGAAAAGGCTTCAGCCTATATACAGAGGCTGAAGAGACTGCTTCAGAGAGCTGTCATGAGGGGAGCAGTGACTGCTGAGCAGATGGATCAGACCAGACTGGCTCAGATTGTAAGAGGAACTCTGTATCAGAACCCGATTCTACTTCATCTCCAGCTAAGAGAATGACAGGAACATCCCCCAAGTTACTCCCAGCTGATAAAAGAGATCAGAGAGGAGGAAGAAAGGTAGGCTGCCAGCAAGTTTTAGGAAGCCCAAACATTGGAGCCAGCCAGCACAACACCACTGCAAACGCCCAGTGTACTGATGGTGAGCACCAAAGAGGATCGTGCCCAACAAATGCAGGTCCTGACAGAATGGATAGCTGAGCTGCAAAGCATCATTGACCGAGCTAAGACTTCCAGGAATAAGGAGCCTCAAACTGTGGCGATTGAGAAGTCAGCATTTAGAGCCACCATCCCACCCAGGCGAAGCGGGAAAGGACAGTTCTTCTGCTACCGATGTGGTCAGGATGGGCACAGTGCTGCCAAGTGCCATACTGAAGAAAATCCCTCCTTAGTGTATGGAAAGCTGAGGATCAGTTGGGAGAGATCCAGTACCTGCCAGAGGGTCTGGGGACAGGGACCATCCAGGCCTGCAGGGTTTGAAGATTCCCCCAGAAAAGACTGTCCAGCTGGGATCCCCACAGGACTGATAAGGTCTTGAGCAGAGGTCACAGTGAGGATTGAAGGGGCAGAGTGTAAAGCAGTGCTTGACACTGGATCTCAAGTGACTATTATATTTCAGTCATTCTACCAACAGATGCGTAGGCATCTGCCTATACAGCCACTGACTGGCCTTGGTCTGTGTGGCCTCAGCCTGGATGAATATCCCTTCCAAGGATATGTCACAGTGCACCTGGAATTCCCAGAGGAGGTTGCTGGGGTAAGAGAAGAGATAGACACAGCTGCCTTAATATGCCTTGACCCTAAAGGGACCTCTGATGTGTCTGTGCTGATAGGGACCAACTCCAGTCTCTTCAAGGTACTTGCGGATTACTGCAGACAATGGGCTGGGGACCAGTACCTGCATACCCTGATGATCCATAGGCTTTGTGCTGAAGCGTATAGGAAAATTGAGAGTGCTAAAAAGGAGATATCTGAGCTACCAATTGGGGCACTGAAATACACAGGCATGACCCCCTGAGTAGTGCCTGCAAGGATGGAGCAAGAGGTGCTTGTCATGAGTACCTAGCTGAAAGGCAGTAAAAGGGCAATAGCAATGGTAGAGCAGCTGGTTGAAAGAGAGTTCTCTGAAGGAGTTCTGGTCCCCAGTGGAGTCATGACCCTACCTGCGGAAGCCCACGAAAGGGTAATTATACTGATTGCTAATGAAACAAGTTGTGATGTTCTTGTGAAGCAAGGACAACACATAGCAGACCTCTTTGAGCCTGAATTAGTTGTAAAACCCCAGTGTGAAACTCAAGTTCCAACAATAGACCCAGCAAAGTTTGACGTTGGAGATTCACCATTGTCCGAGGAGTGGAAGGATCGCCTGAGGAAGAAACTTTGTGAAAGATCCAAGGTGTTCTCACTGCAAGATTGAGATGTGGGATGTGCAAAAGGAGTAGAGCCCAACATCAGACTACATGACTCAGGGAGAGATCTAGGAGGATTGCTGTCTCCGAGATGGAAGATGTGCGACATCTTCAGGAGCTGGCTATGAATGGCATCATTACAGAGTTCCGCAGACCATACACCTCACCCATTGTGGTGGTCCATAAAAAGAATGAGAAAATCCGGATGTGTATTGACTATCGTACCTTAAACAGCCGTACTGTGGTTGACCCGTACACTATGCCTCGAGTCCAAGATGCCTTAGACCATTTGCTGGGAAGCCAGTGGTTCTCTGTGTTGGATCTTCAGATTGGATACTACCAGATCCCTCTGGGAGAAGAAGTTAAGGAGAAGATAGCCTTCATCTGCCCATTAGGGTTTTATCAGTTTGAACGCATGCCACAAGGATTTCTGGAGCACCTGCCACATTTCAGTGTCTTATGGGGAAAGTTGTGGGAGACATGAATTTACTGCAAGCGTTAGTTCATTTGGATGACCTGATTGTGTTTGGAAGAACCTTGGAGGAGAATGAAGAAACACTTCCTGAAGTGCTTGATAGGTTGGAGGATTATGGTTGAAGCTTTCAATTGACAAATGCCAGTTCTGCAGAACCTCAGTGAAGTATGTGGGTCACATCGTGTCCCAAGAGGGTGTGAGTACTGATCCCGATAAAATAGAAGTACTCACTACATGGCCATGGCCATGTCCAAGTAACTACAGAGAACTCAAGACCTTTTCTTGAGGGCTAGACAACCAGCCCACAAAGTTGCTTGAAATAAAGTGTGTCCTAGCTCACTGAATGTTAGAATGATTGTTTTGGTAAAGCTGGAATAACCTGAATATTCTTAGAAAAAGTTGGTGTCTTACAATGAAATGTTTCCTCTTTGGTAGGGGAGCAAGAAGGTAAGCGGTGGTGTTATCTAAATAGATGCAGGATATGATTTTTAAAAACAGCCTGAAGTTAGGATCCTAAATCCATACTGAGGCACCTAAATAAGTGCCCAGATATTTAGAAGTGCTGAGTACCCAGAAACTTCAACTGACCTCAACAAGAACATTTTGGTGGTAACACAAACTCAGTTTTGCAGCTAAAGTGTTTACCCATTGATTATTGATTCTAGAGGAGGTCGCCATAACCTACTGAGCTGTTTCTTCATCAATAGTTTAGGAAACAGCACTGGTTTCTAATTAACCACCAGTCCCTAAATAGTTTTAAAGAAGATATTCCAAAATGATATAGAAGTCTTTCTTCTGCAATGGCCTCTGTACATTCCCACTTACAGAATTTGATGCCTCTAGTGGTGAACTACAGAATTGTATACCAAAGTTCTATCTAATGGAGAAGAGCAGTAGCGTGCTCATGCTAGGATGACATGATTGGATCCATCTACATAAGGAAAGAGTACCTCTGACCATCTCAATTCCTTCACCACCACTGCAGAGAGCAAAACTGAACTACCTCTCGTGCACATGAGTTAATTAGCCTATCTTCTTGTAGTTAGTTCTTGGTTAGTTCCTTATAGTATAGTTAATTAGTTGTTGCCACTG